TCTTCAATCCTTCGTTGCGATCTCCGGGCGCTCACTCTCGTGTGCCAACTGCCAAGCCTGCTTTCTGCTTTTCCATGACCTCTCCTTGCCAGCTGCCTGCAGTCCCCACCGTGCTAAATCCTCTCTTGGCTTCACCCCTGGCAGTGGCCCAGACGGATGAGCCCCTGACGAATAGCAAGTTCTCTTGTTCAGGCTGCCTGCCGAGTAGCAGGTAAGTGCTGCACATGGGGGCTGGCGCTCTCCCGGCGTGAACTGCCAGGACGGGCCATAACTGAGCTGCACAAAGGAACCGCAGAAAAGACCCAGGGGGGTGAGCTACACAGGCTGGCTGCCCGGGCACGAAGTCTGTGCCGGAAACGCTGGTGGTCAGGTAGGTGAGGCTGGCTCGGGGCCAACTGTGGCTGGCTTGGGGCTGGGCTGTGTTCCAGCCGAGGCCGTCCTGAGCGCTTGGGGTCACGGACAAGCCCTGCGTTTTGCTGGCGTTTTTGCAGGAACTGTGCACAGAGGTTAGCCAGGCTGTGCACTGCCAAGAGAAATTCTGCAGGTGCAGGTAGGCGCTGTAATTCCGGCCTGGCTGCTGCAGGGCCAAGCCTCTGGCGGGTGGGGAGGTGTCTCCATCGCATGAGCCTCTTGGACAGGAGGCTAGCACTGTACGAAAGGGGCTGAGACAAGCTTTCCGATTGGCTGCTTCCGGACAGCTGGAGCCCTTGGGGGAGGGGAGAGGGAACATCAGATGTATGGGGTCCCTGGCCCTGCCAGACCCGAGCTCGTGTTCATCACACAACTGGCTGCTTCTCTCTAATCTTCGTCCGCTTCCTCCCTGTGGTAGCCTCTGCTCTCCTGCCCATTTCGGGCTCTGTGCTCGGGCCCGCTTGGCAACAGCGAGGCTTGAGATGACTCGGCCAGGCCTGGCTCCTCTTAGCTCTGGCTCGACGCATTAGCAGCCAGATTTTATTTTTAGTCCGCAACGTGTTCATCACACAACTGGCTGCTTCTCTCTAATCTTCGTCCGCTTCCTCCCTGTGGTAGCCTCTGCTCTCCTGCCCATTTCGGGCTCTGTGCTCGGGCCCGCTTGGCAACAGCGAGGCTTGAGATGACTCGGCCAGGCCTGGCTCCTCTTAGCTCTGGCTCGACGCATTAGCAGCCAGATTTTATTTTTAGTCCGCAAAGGGCTGTACAGCCCTTCCCCTCTCAGTTTTTCCTAGAGTTTCCTCCTCCCCAGCAGAGCAGGAAGGGTTACATGTGAGGGGGAAGGTCTCAGCTTTTCTCCAGAACTTGGTGTCTGCTACTGGAAGTGCTGCCAATTGCTGCTGGGATTTGCCAAGAGCCTGAAACCGTTGCAGTTACCCCGGTCTACCCAACACTCCGGAAATGCTGCTTCAAGAGCAGAGCCTCACTTCACCATCCGACCCCTTGATTTGCTCTGGGCGATTTCTTTCCCCAGCCAGAGGCCCACAGGCCTGCAACAGCCCTGAGTCTAACGAACTCTGCCCTGGGGGCCGTGTGCGCTGCAGCTGCTGGGTAGGATGGGGGGAGAACAGGCGCTGTGCTCTTCCTGCTCTGCTCCTGGCTTTATTCCTGTGCCAAGCGGAGTGGTTCTGGTACCCGCTGCTTCCTGAGGCTTAGCTCCCCTTCCCTGCAACTGCTGGGGTGGAGCCTGGCCGCCGCTTAAGCAGCACCCAGCAACACCACAGGCTGGGGGCAGGGAGCCTTTGTTCAGCGCTCGGGCAGCTGAGTTCTGGCTCATTCGCAATGCCTGTAAGGCGGCATCGGGCGCGGAAGGGCAGGTTCAGTGTCACGGGGTGGAATCGTCGGGTTCTTGGAGCCACAGCGGGGCCCGCCAGCCACCGGGAGTGGTGAAGGCCTGGTCTCCACTTACTCACGTTTTCCCAGACTGAGCCGAGGGGCCCTTCTCTGAGCAGTCGGCCCTGCAGGAAAGCAACAAAACTCCCACCATGTACGGGCTGCAAGGCTCACAATCCCACACGTTTCATGCCTCTAGGCCATGGGACCAGCAGCTGGTTCCATCTTTCCCCTCCTTGGGCGCAGCAGACGGCCGGGGGCAGGCGAGAACCTAGTGCCTGTAGGTCCCAAAGGCACCGGTCTACTGAGCCTGGGCTGACAGGTTTCCATGGTTTTGATGCCTGATACTGATGATTTAAGCCAGGGGTGGGGAAGCTCTTTTGGGTGGGGAGGCTGCTGACCCCCAGAAAAATAAGTTGGGGGCTGCACCAGAGCCCAGTGAGGTCCAAGCTAGTAGATTTTGTAGGCCCTGGGGTGGGGCAAAACCCAAGGGGTTTAGTGTGTGGGAGGGCTGCCAGGAAGCAGGCTTGGGATGTGGGGTCTGGATGGTAGGAAGAGCGCAGGAGCCAGCTGGGAGGGGAGCCCCACGGTGGGGGCCAGATCCAAGCAAGCCAGGGGCCGCATCCGCCCCCTGGGCCTTAGGTTCCCTACCCCTGATTTAAACTGACTTTTTTAAGAGTTTTTTAAATTTTCAGTTGCACAAAATTCTGGGTCTTATGGGTTTGGGTTTTTTTATTGGATTGAAATTGGCCTGGGCCAGGGAGAGGCCAGGGCCGCAGGACTGCATGACAGCTGCTGGCGGCGCACTTCCAACTGTGAAAGCTTTCAAACCGTTTTGTCAGTATCCTGCCTTCCCTCACCCCAGCCGGCCGGCGCTCCTGGAATCACCTGGCTTCCTTCTCCCTGCCCTGCTGTGTGAGCAGGTTGGGCGGGCGGCTGGGCCCCTGGCATTGACACACACAAACAGTCTCTCTGTCTCTTTACACTAACAGGCTTCGGCGGGTCCTCAGGGTGCTCCTTGGAGAGCGCTGGCGTTTCATAGTTACAAGGGTGACCGGTGCCACCGTGACTCCCTCGTCTTCCTCCTCCCCCCACAACTGCCGCCCCTTCGGGCTCTGCTGTGCTGATAATCGGCCTGGCAGTGGGGGCAGCGCGTACTTGTTCCTTCCCCCGCCTGGCGGCAGCAGGAGGAAAGCAAAGCTGCCCTGCAACCCTGGGCGCCCCACTACTGCTTTCTGGGCCTGTTTCCGTCCCAGCCGTGGCTCCGGGTGATGCAGATGTGCGGGGGCAGCTTCAGGGCTACCCTGTGCCTTGCATGGCTGGGAGGTTTTTTGCCACCGTCGATTGGTGTGCAAGGGCTTGTTTCCCTCATCCCTGTCACCCGTAGTCGCCGGCTGGCCGGTCCCCCAGCTGGGGGGCAGTGAGAGCGAATTCACCTCTTCTCTCGTCGCGGTGCAAGGCCTGGCTTTGTTAGGGGCGCAGTGACAAGCGGGGGAGGGGGCACTGCTTAATTTGTGCCGGGACTGAGCCTGCCACCTCTGGGCCTGGCATGTTGGAGCTCCAGCTTCTCTGGG